TAACCTTTTTGCCGTCGTGTGCCAAAAGCAGGAGGAGCGCAGGCCGGTCACGTACATGCGTGCCCACATCCATAATTCAATGTGCCCTCTCCCTGCTTTTGGCATGCGATGGCACGGTGGGCACATTAGGCCTGTTTTTTGCCTTCCCCAGGCTCGAGAGGCTTTCTTGGAGCCTGGGGAGGGCGAAAATGGCCTTCCCCACCTGCCGGAGACCTTCCGGAAGCCGTAAATGGCCCATTTTTTGACTTCCGGTGGGACCGGAAGGCCTGTTTTTCACCCTCCCCAGGATCCAGAGGCTTTCTAGGAACCTGGAGAGGGCATAAACAGCCTTCCCCACCCCCCGGAGGCTGGAAACGGCCAGTTTCCCGACTTCCGGTGGGCCCGAAAATCAGCTGGCCAGCGCGTGAATATGCGCTGGAGCTTTGCTAGGGTAACGCTCGTGTGCCCACAGATATGGCCCCACGTGCTACAGGTGGCACGCGTGCCATAGGTTCGCCATCACGGTACTAGAATATAATGAGGGTAAACCCCATTCCTCACTAGCATTTATGATGTTATCTATTTGGTAATGAAACTTCTGCAAGAAAACCAAGGTCAGAGAGCACCAAGGACCCTTCGTTTCATCTCAGAGCTACAGACATGTTCCTCTGTCAATAACAGACATTTTATTCTGCTCTGCCCTTCTGCTCTGCTGATATTTTGCTGCTTCTGCTATTTAACTGCTTTTGCTTCTACTATTTAACTAATGTTGAGAATCAGCAAGCCAGAAACCTGTCACAATTGAATCTCCCTGCTGATGAGGGGTTCTTTTCCAGGATGTGATGTCAATCTGGCCAATCGGCTATGCCAGCCCTCTTTATCACCATAGGTAATCTAATGATCAGAGGCAGCACAATAGTGGCAGTCATTAGTCATTCTCCAACATGCCAAACCTGTCATTTTAGTAGCGCATGTGGAAAAGGAAGACCTTGCCTTTCAACTGTACTTTGAAACTGGCATTTATATTAATTTAGCATAAGTTAGACCATTTGGAAAATCGTTGTTATTTTTTGGTCAGCCAAAAAGAGGTGCAGAGAAAATATTTCAACCAAAACCCTTGAAGATATCCAGCTGAAAATAGATGATGTCTCCTAACAGATCTTCCACCCATTTCTTTGATTTCCCATTCCTTGAACTATGAAGCAGCTAGAAAATGATGCTTCCCCATTAGAATGTAGGGAAGAATCTTTTTCTCATTAGATCTCAAAGCACTTTGAATCAAATTAGTTTTCCCTCTGATTGCAAACCCAGAATCGTATCCTCTTTGAATCTCAGTCTACCAATGGACTGCAGTCAAGGCTGATAACATACAAACTTACTCCGTTGCCACTTCCACCCTGAAAAATATGTTTGACTTGGTGTTAGGTGCTTTGCATTTCTGCCACATTTCAGCTTGGAATGCTAAAATGCAAAAGAAAGCCTCTTTCTTATCTGTTCGAGGCCTTCTCATCTTCTTCAGACGAATAATATTTGCAAGGAAGGGACAGAGCTAACATTTGCATGGAGGAAGTAGGCAACATGAAGAAAACGTGAATGAATTCTTGATGGCCAGGGTCTTTGTCACAGTGCATTTTGTAATCAGCCTTTCTCATACCCATATAGTCACCTCACACCACCATTAAAGGTTCATTTCATTTCATTTATTAAATTTTTATACCGCCCTTCTCCCGAAGGACTCAGGGTGGTGTACAGCCATATTAAAACAACATATACCCAAAAAATTTAAAAACAATTTAAAATATATTAAAAATTTGGCTCTTATATTAAAAAAAGGTTGCTGCAGACAAGGGAGACATCAATAAATGAAATCATTCTTTGAGGAGCAGAACATGGGAATGCACTGTAAAGTTTCCAGATTTGCATGTTTTCACCCTTCTGCCAGCAGTCCTACATAGTAGCCTCCAGAAATCCTTCTCCTTGAAGTGACATTCCACATACATACCTGCCATCATAAGGAAATGCTTCTCTGTGAGATATGCAAAGAAGTACACTCCAGTGCTAAAAGCACCTGCTAATGTTGGATGTAGATTACACACACACATACACAGAGACACAGACACACACACACACACACAGACACACAGACACACACACACACACACACAAGTCCCTGGAATTGAAAGTGAGAAAAACAATCGAGTGGAGAGCTTTTGTGATCTACTTCATACAAACTGGAATAAATAACTGTTACTTAAAGAGGTGGGCATCTGGAGCTCCAAATAGTTGCTGGAGAAATTGGAAGCAGTAAAAAATGAGATTCAGTGATGACCTTTATCAGCTTTGATGACAGCTATAAATCAGACTGAAATTCTCATCAGCCTTCTGGACAGAATTCATTTGCAGACAAAGGCTGCTGCGTTGCTTTCTGTCTTTGATTGAGGGACGCCCAGTGAAAATGAATACAGCTTCAATAACATGAATCACACATTTCAAAACACAAACGGAGAGCTATTATTCATTGGTTCTGAAGACTGAGATGATTACAGGACTTGGAGACTAGCAAAGGCTTATTGTGTTTTCCTTTGGGTCATGAAGCCAATCAATTTTGGCTTCTTTAATGCAAGCCAATTTGCTCTTCATTAAATTTTTAACCCTTTGCTGATGACGTGAATTGACTGTAACAGCAGGACCAACCAATCAATGCTGGTTTAATTCCTTTTTGCTTTTCACTTTATAAAGACAGGATATTATTAACTTCTCAAAGGCAATGCAATCTTTAGAAAAAGGACTTCATTTCTCAGAATATAACAAGGAGGCATAGAGTTTTTCTTTCCAAAAGACTGTCCTTGGGTGTAAACAAACTTTTTATGTAACATAAGAGTTTACATCTAAAAACAGCTTTTCTACCTTGGGCTTTGTCCAGATGTTTGTGAACTTCAACTCCCAGAAGTCCTGAGCCGTCCACAGCCTTTGCTATGAATTCTGGGAGTTGAAGTTCAAACATGTGGAGAATGCCAAGATTAGGGAATGATATTTTAAAAAGTGAGCAGTGCTGAAGTCACAGGTAAGGCCAGGAATATTATTGCACCATGTGTACAAAATAATTAAACACAATACATGAACAGTACACAATACAGATTTTGAGGAGTTTTTATATCACAGCCAGGACTAAAACTTTCATGTATGGACTATCAGTTGTTCTGCCATCAGGTTGCTTGCTTTCCTAACAATTTTTATAGGCTTGCTACAGTGGCGGGTTTCAGAATTTTTTACTACTGGTTCTGTGGGTGTGGCTTGGTGGGCGTGGCAAGGGAAGGATACTGTAAAATTTCCATTCTCACCGTCCAGTTCGCTCCCATAGAGAGGGACTCCTCAGGGTGCTGTCGGCCAAATTATGTCGGCTGGCGACACCCAGGGGGAGAGCCTTCTCTGTGGGAGCCCCTGCCCTTTGGAATGAACTGCCCCCGGACATATGCAAGATCTCTGACCTCCGAGTTTTCCGCTGTGCTCTTAAGACCCTGCTCTTCCGACAGGCAGGGCTAGCTTCATAAATTGAGTTTTAAATTTAGAATTCTTAAATTTTTGGGTTTTTTAGTTAATTGGCCTTAAATGTAATACTTTTAATAATTTTTTAAATTTAAATTGTGATATTTGTATTGTGTTTTTACTGGTTGTACACCGCCCCGAGTTCTTCGGGAGAGGGGCGGTATAGAAATAAAATTATCCTTATCCTTATCCTTATCCCTCCCCACTCGAGGGGAAGGTTACTACAAAATCCCCATTTCCTCCCAATCAGCTGGGACTTGGGAGGCAGAGAATAGATGAGGGCAGGACCAGTCAGAATTTTTACTACCGGTTCTCCGAATGACTCAAAATTTCCGCTACCGGTTCTCCAGAAGTGGTCAGAACCTGCTGAAACCCACCTCTGCTTGCTATACAATATGGAATGGCTAGGTTTTCTACTTTCTTAGAGACTAAAAGTTACATTAATTTGTGGACATCAACTCTCATTTCATTTCACATTTTATTTTCATTTTTCTTAAAATTAGTATGAATTTAAGAGTACCTAGACAACTTTGGTTTATCTCAAAGTAGCTTAAGTAGGATTCTGCCTACTTAATGCCAGGATGGGAAAATACCAAGAAATCCCAGAGTTGTATACTTGACTGAGAAGTTGAAATAAATCTTGGAAGAAAGCAATTGCAGTCACTTTTGTAGTGTTCCTCCAAAAAAGTGACAGGGATGTGAGTGTCTAGTTACCAAGAGTTGAATTTGTCTCAAAGTAAATTACCTTATTGCCATTTACAGGTAGTCCTTGAGTTACTACAAGTTGCTTAGTGACTAGTTAAGGCCACAAAAAGGGTACTCATGTCCTGGATTTGAATTTTCAACACTAGTCATGAGACCACACATTTGGGACTCTTAGCAACTGGCCTGCATTTATGGCTGTTTGCCATGCTCCCCAGTCACGTGATCACAATTTGTGACAATTTTTTTGTGCCAGAAACCAGTGTTTACTTCCAGTTTCTGGCAAAAGAAACCCACCAGAAACAGTTGGTTCCATGTGTTGATGGAAGTGGGTGATAATGATATGTTTTAAAAACTGAGTTAGTATATATCTGATTTAAAATATCTAATCTGTGACTCTGATGCTATCTGAAATCATGAGAATTGAAGATGCTTCTCTATTGTAGACATTATCCAGTGCCTTCTAAGCATAGGTTAGCTCTCTCTTTAGGAACAGGAACTGGTCCTCTCTGAAGCAAATGAAGCTAGCATCCTAGTTCAGAAAAGTTGTAATCAAAATTTTCTATTTTTCTTTTCCTAGTATCCAATTGTTTTTTCTCTTCTGTTTTCTGATCCTCTTTGTTTGAAATGGCAAGTAATAAATGTAGATCTGGATGTTTGTTTAAGTAAGCTAGATGTTTTGCCACAAAGCTATGGTCCTCTCTTAATTATCCTCTGGCCCATATGTGATAGGTATAAATCACCCTCTTCTTCTGTTCTCTCTCCTCTTTTAGATACAGAATTCATTTATAGAGACCAGAATGGCTCAGTGATAGTGCACAATGTGGAAACAAACCATTCAACAGTTTTAATAGAAAACAAAATCATTGTGAGTATCTTCTTGAATAGGTCATACAGTTGCACATCTGTCTGGGTTAAGAAAGAACATGCCTTTAGTTACTTGAACAGAAGTTGAATATTCTAACTGAAACAACACTGAAAAATACAAAAACATATATTTTTATATATGCTTTATATATGTGTGTGTTTGTATGTACACTGAGAGTTTAGGCACTGAAGACAAATTCCTTGTGTTCTAATCACACTTAATAAAGAATATTTTATTCTATTCCATTCCCTATTCTATTCTATTTTCTATATTCTATTCTATTCTATTCTATTCTATTCTATTCTATTCTATTCTATTCTACTCTACTCTACTCTACTCTACTCTACTCTACTCTACTCCACTCTACTCTATTCTATTCTCTATTCTACTCTACTCTACTCTACTCTACTCTACTCTACTCTACTCTACTCTACTCTACTAAGTAGAAGTTGAGATTTGTGAGTATTCTTAGCCAAACACTTCCAATAAATAATATAATTCCTTTTCCTTGTAAAATGAAGAGCTGGCAATCAACAAGAATAGGCTAAGAAAAATTTTAAGTTACTAATTTTTTAAAAAAAGGAATAAATGCATCTCTTCCCGCTTGTTTGCCTTCATGTTGTGAGTTTCTTTTGAAAGCAGGGTCCAGGTGACATGTGTTTGTCACTGTTGCTCAGCTCAACCTAAACCCTATAACCTTAAAAGTAAGACTTGAAGGATATAATTCAGCTTTAACTCCACCGAAAGATCACTGGGGAGACTGTGATAAATTCTGCAAGAAATTCACTGGTATAGTGGTTACAATGCAGTATTGCAAGGTGACTCTGCCCATTGCCAGGAGTTAGATCCTGATGGGCCTCAAGGTTTCAAGGTTGACTCAGCCTTCCATCCTTCAGAGGTCAGTAAAATGAGGACCCAGATTGTTGGGGGCAATATGCAAATAATATTGCAGGATCCAATCTGGATCGGTCACATAATTTAGTCTTCTGAGCTTTCGGACTCATGCTGTAGTTCATCCTCAGGGAACTTATCTTTACTGGAATGTGTGCAAATAGTACTGATATTGTAACCCACCCAGAGAGCTCTGTAAATAAATAAATAAATAACTGTATTGTCATTGTACATGTATACACATACAATGAAATTCACTTAACACCCAAAGACCAGGTCCAACACACATAACAATCCCCAAACACACTCCCACCCACCACAATTCCCCACCCCTAAACCACCCAAACATCCACACAACAGACCACATAATGCTGTCCAACAGCTCACTGATGGTGGCCTTTTAGTTCATTGTTGAGTGCAATTTTAGCTCTGGGATAAAAACTATTCAGAAGATGTGTGGTCCGAGTTTTAATTGTTCTGTATCTTCTGCCAGAAGGCAACAGTCCAAAAAGATTGTAAGCAGGATGGGAAGAGTCTTTGAGAATGTTATGCAACTTTCTCAAACAGCGAGATTCGAAGATGTCGTCCAGGCTGGTAGCTGGAGTCTGATGATATTCTGGGCAGTTTTAATGATTCTGTGTAGAGCCTTTTTGTCCATCACAGAGCTGCTCCCATACCATGCAAGAATGCCATATGTCAGGACACTCTCAATGGTGCTGTGATAGAAGGACAGAAGTAGATGCTGAGATAGATTTATTTTCCTGAGCATTCTCAGAAAGTACAGCCTCTTCTGTGCCTTCTTCACAAGCATGTTAGCATTCATAGTCCATGAGAGGTCCTCCGAGATATAAGTGCCCAGAAATTTAAAACTACCCACCCTCTCTACCTCCTCACCATTTATGTACAATGGTAGATGTACATCTCCCTTCCTCCTGAAGTCAATTATAAGTTCTTTAGTTTTTGTGTAAAGCACTGGGGTGATATATAAATCTAAGTGCTGTTGCTATTGCTACATTATTTTCAATTCAGTTAGAAATTTAAAATGTCCCCAATTTTTTGCAATATTTATATTAACATAGTAGGAGAGATCACATAAGCCAATGTTTCTCAACCTTGGGAACTTTAAGAGTGTGGACTTCAACTCCCAGAATTCCCCACCTCCCATTTGCTGGCCAGGGAATTGTAGGAGCTGAAGTCCACACCTGTTATAGTTGTCAAGTTAAGAACCACGAACATTGGTCCATACAGAGCACAGTGGTTAGAGTGCAGTACTGCAGGCTATTTCAGTTGACTGTTAGCTGCAGTTCAGCAGTTCAAATCTCACCGGCTCATGGTTGACTCAGCCTTCCATCCTTCCGAGGTGGGTAAAATGAGGACCCAGATTGTTGGGGCAATAGGCTGACTCTATAAACTTCTTAAAGAGGGCTGTGAAAGCACCATGAAGCGGTATATAAGTCTAAGTGCTATTGCTATACCTCATCTTTGCTCAATTCCAGAATCCAAAAATATAGACTTCCTAAAGATGGCTATTTAACTTCATCTGAACACATCCAGGAAGAGGTAGACCATAACCTTGCTAGATAATTGGTTTCATTATTAAACTTCTCTTTTTATTAGGAATTATTTCCTCTCATTGAACTGGAATCTGACATCCTGGAATTTAAGTCCCTTATTCTGTATCTTACATTCTGGAATAATAAGGAAGCCATTGTATAAAACCTTCCCTGGTCAAGCATTCTTAGAGATTTCTTACTAACTAAAAACACAAATTTTATATCCTTTTATTTAATTTCATAGTTAATTTTCTCTGCTACCTAGATTTTACTTCGCACATTGTGAGTTCTGTGTATCATTCATTATATAAAATTCAAAAATGTGAGCTTGGCCTTTAAAATTCGGTTTTGGCTGACCGTTAACAACATCAGGACTTTACACATAAAACAAATATTAATTCTCATAAGACGGATCAAAATATAAAGCAGATGTTTACAAGTTTTAGGAAACATACTAATGCGTTAGGCATGTTGTAAAAGTTATGCATGCTTATTAAAATTTGATAAATAAAAATAAAATAAATAAAGCAGATATTTACAGTTTTTAGTAAACATACCAATATGTTAGGCATGTGGTAAGAGTTATGCAAGCATATCTCTTTTTTATATTGTATTTTATAGTGTTTTATTTTTATTATAGTCATATTTTTGTGTTATTACTTTTAACGTTGTAAGCCACTCATTATACCTCATATACTGAGATGAGTGGCAATTAAATTAATATTAGAATGTATTTATTTGAGATGCTGGGTTTTGTTTTATTTTTCAGGTGTCTATAAAAGCTATTAAATACGAAGTTTCGCCAGATAGAGAGTATGGACTCTTTGCCTATGACATTGTACCGGTAAGTAAACAGACTGTATTTATTTTGTTTTCAGTTTAATGGTGTTTTCTTGACGTGACAGTATAACTTTACCCAGAGAAAGATTCCTACTGAAATGATTGGTCTTGAAATCAGGGCTTCATTATACATAATTGTATGTAATAATTTCAAAGAATGGAAATAAGAGCATAAAGGAAGGGGGAAATAGCAACATCATGACAAGAAAGAGATGAATTATTAATTTAAAGAAGGTAAAATGGGGCATCTCTAGGGATGAAGAATTATTTCAAAAGGAAGTAGGAGGTGGTCCTACAGTTGTTATTTTTGCTGAAGCATTTACATATATGCCAGCTAAAGGATAATTTAGAAAAAAATATAGGTATATAATTGTTGGCTGGGCACTTGATCGTTTTGGTGGATTCCTCTCGATCTGGAGTTAGGAATGAGTACCAAAATGGCTCTATTGCTGAGAAAATTGCCTAATCATGCCTATGGAATTATCAGAAGTGGAGTTCAACTTGAAGATGCTCCTTATTCTTCAATAGCATAAATGTCACCTTTGATTTTAGGATTAGATTTGGTATATATGATGAGAAATCCCTATTTATACAAAGGAAGATGTGTTACATCTAGCAAAATATAAAAAGTATCACTGGTGGATCGAGCAATTGTTGGTCCTTTGGTTATGAAAACTATAAAACATTTGTTTACAACCTATTGCTTCCATTTGGGAAATTCAGTTTCATACGTACCACCAACACAGCCATTGGCTGGAGGATTAATGGGAACTGAAGTCCAACTCCCATAACTCAGAATTTGAGCTACTTTAGATAGACAAAACTGCTGTAGCACTTTGACTTTGCTGCAAGAACTTATAATCTTCTTTGTTTAAATATCTATGGAGATCCTCAGTCATCCAGGTCATGGTTGTCTCAAAGGTGCTTTTTCAGGAGGCAACTGGACTTTCTTGTCTATCTTTGAAGATGTTTCACTTCTTATCCAAGAAGCTTCTTCTTGGATGAAAGCTTGGAAGAAGCTTCTTGGATGAGAAGCGAAAGGTCTTCAAAGAAAAACAAGAAAGTCCAGTTGCCTCCTGAAAAAGCACCTTTGGGACAACCATGACCTGGATGACTGAGGATCTCCATAGATATTTAACTATGGGATGAGCACCCTTTGAATGATGTATGAACAGAGTATGAATGGATTTCCAGAAAAAAATTGCAGACCACAGGAACCATTTGCACTTCAGTTTGAGATGATGATGATGATGATGATGATGATGATGATTATTATTATTATTATTATTATTATTAGTTGAATTTCTATACCGCCCTTCTCCCGAAGGACTCAGGGTGGTGAACAGAATAAGATTTCATATACATATAATATATATATATATTTATAAACAGTAAATAATAAATTGAGTCAACTTAGTGTATCTGCTAAGACCTTGGCATAGAATTTAGATGTTTATGCTAGCCCTGCTTGTTGAAACAGAAAGGTCTTCAGGGCACCTCAGAAAGTGCGAAGATCTGGGATTATTCGTATTCCAGGGGGTATTTTGTTCCAAAGAGTAGGTGCCCCCACAGAAGGCTCTCTCCCTTGGAACTACTAGACAACATTGTTTTAATGATGGTACTATGAGTAAGCCTACTCTGTGAGAGCGTATTGGTTGGTGGGAGGTTATCGGTTGCAGCAGGTGGTCTCGTAAGTACTCAGGTCCTAAGCCATGGAGCACTTTAAAGGTAAGAACCAACACCTTGAAGCGCACTCGGAAGGTCACCGGAAGCCAGTGCAGCTCGCGTAGAAGAGGTGTTACATGTGAGCGCCATGTTGCTCCCATAATTACTCACATGGCCGCATTCTGGACCAGTTGGAGCTTCCGGGTGCACTTCAAGGAAAGCCCCATGTAGAAAGCATTACAGTAGTCAAGTTGGGAAATGACGAGGGCTTGAGTGACTGTGCGTAATGAGTCCCGGTCTAGAAAGGATAAAGACCAGACAGACTCATTCCCAACAGTCTACATCTGTCTTCAACAATGAAGGGACACAAGGCAGAAGGTACTTGAAAAAGTACCTTTGGGACTTTTTTGTTTAACTTTCTTACCAAACTTTCTTAATCATTATAAATTTTAACAGAAAGTAAATGTCAGTAGCTTTCACTGCTGAAATAGCTCATTAATTATAATACCTCTCTTCCCATGTCAGGCTTAAGGTTGATATATCAGCATGCATGAATATTCAGTTGCTTAAATGTCCAAGGAATTTAAACCCAATCATTGGACCAGCAATCTTCTTGGGACCATTATCTTCAAAATCTAAATAATTTATATTCCAAACAAGAAATAAAGAAGGGGGATTAAACTAGATTATGAAATAGTTGGAAATGCTTAGTTATATCTTTGAAAGTGAAGATATGTAGAATTCTGATATATTTTCTATTTCACAAATAGCGGCTTGTTCCTCTCTGTTAGCAGGTGAACTGAATAAATTATGCAAAAGAATCAGGTTTACGATTGAAGAAGCTCTGAAGAAGAAAAGTTGACATCAATGATGCAGAATGTTCATCTCCTTTTTCATAAATAGCAAAACAAAAATATGCAACCCAAGTTGTATTGGGCAACTGTAGAACTGTAATTTCAGGATTCATACCATAGGAGCAGCTTCGATATTCAGATAATCAGACTCTGAGTAGAACTATAGAAATCAATGGAATCTAATGTGATCATGAATCTAATCCAATGAGTATTATTTCAAATGGGGGTAAATCAGCTCTGTTCGTCTTGCATCAGGTGCCATCATGGTTGGTAAATAGGCATCAGCTCTGGATTGATGGCACAGTTAATTAAAAGAATCATCAACTATCAAAGAATTACTGGCTTGAGTGGAATTCCTATTTAGCCTAAGGCCGTGATGGCGAACCTATGGTATGCGAAGCCATATTGGTGGGCACACGAGCTCAGCTCCAGCACACATGCACGCACCGGCCAGCTGATTTTCGGGCCTTCTGGGGCCACCAGAAGTAGGGAAACAGGCTGTTTCCTGCCTCCGGAGGACCTTGGGGGGGAGGCCCATTTTTCTCTCTTCCCAGCCTCCAGAGCCTTTCTAGGAGTCTGGAGAGGGTGAAAAGTTGGCAAATGGGCCGTTTTTGGCCTCCGGGGGGTTGGGGAAGGCAGTTTTTGCCCTCCCCAGACTCCTAGAAAGGCTCTGGAGGCTGGGGACAGCAAAAAACGGGCCTACCATGCCATCATGTGCCAGGAGCGAGGGGAGCATGGGGGAGTCGCGCATGCATGCGTAGGGGGCAGGGGGCATAGAATTATGGGTGTGGGCACACATGTGCCCCCCCCTGCTCCTGACACGCGATGGCAAAAAGGTTAGCCATTACTGGCCTAAGGCATACAGACAGGACATATGAACTTTTATGGCTTTTCTTTCAGAAAAGTTGAAAGAGCTACAAATTAAATTCCAACTAAACTCCAAAGTTACCAGAAGGGTCAGGATAAAAGTCATACAGTGAAACGTCCCTCTGAAAATTTTTTCTTCTGGCTGACTCTAAGATCCACTGACAGAAAAGGATGTTAATATCATTTTTAAAAAGGAGCAGAGAAATGCTTTGGCAAGGAAGGAGACATATTACATCACATCCAATAGACTAGGGAGGTGCCCACAATCCTGAAACTAAGTAAAAACATGCAGAGAAAATTCAGGATTGTTAAATTTTCACATTTCTGAGTCGGGAAGGATTTGGACTCATCATGGATTCAATCTAGCAGTCTACAACACGGGTGTCAAACTCATGGTGTCATGTTGTCATTGTGTGATGTATCATAACTTTTTTCCCTTTATGGAGCTGGGTTGGGCGTGGTCTGTGCATGACACATCCGGTCCACGGCCTACCGGTTTGACACCCCTGGTCTACAAATACTCTTTGGCTATTTGCAATTATGTTTTATTTTATTTATTTATTAAACAAATTTATATAGCCATCCAACTCACACATAGATGACTCCAGTCAGCTTACATTTTTTTAAAAAAAATTAAAATCCACATTATAATAAAATCCATTAAACAAACCCCAAACAGCTCCCATATGCTTTCGTATTCATAAGATTTGTTTAACTTGGAAGGGTTTGTTCAAAAATTCATGAATGAAATAATGAATGCACAATAGCAGATACATAAATTGCTCACATGGAATGGCCAGCCATTAGGATCAGCCAATTTTCACCAAGGATTAATTGGTAAGCAAGAGGCTATGGTGAGTTTGTAACTATATCCACAACTCAGGGGTAAAATCCAGCAGGTTCTGGAGAACCAGTAGCGGAAATTTTAAACAGTTCGGAGAACCGGTAGTGGAAATTTTGAGTAGTTCAGAGAACCGGCAAATACCACCTCTGGCTGGCCTCAGAGTGGGGTGGGAATGGAGATTTTGCAATATCCTTCCCCCAGGAGTGGGGAGGGAATGGGGATTTTGCAGTATCCTTCCCTGGAGTAGAGTGGGAATGGGGATTTTGTAGTATCCTTCCCCTGCCACGCCCATCAAGCCATGCACACCAAGCCACACCATGCCCACCAAGCCATGCCCACAGAACCGGTAGTAAAAAAATTAGGATTTCACCACTGCCACAACTATTATGTGGCACACATAGGCTTGTCTTGTCACCCACATATTGATAAAAAATGGCATTCTGCACCTACATAGAGATTTAATTCTTGGTTGGTTTTACTTCTGTTTCATTTCTTTTCTGATGGTTTACATTTTCCAAGCACTTTTAGATATTTGTTACATTTTAATATTTGTTTTAAAAAACATTGGCAGCTTTTTAGCTAATTGATTGAATGCAGGTGAACCCCTCCTGTTTTGACTAAAAAAAAAGTTCCTTTTTATTGGATCAGATTTGATAACTCTTTTTGTTTTCTAGAGAATACAAATACTAATAAATAATACAAGTGGCAAGCATTTTTCATTAATGGGCCTCTCTCCTCTAACATGTAAGAGGCAGTGTTCAGAATTCTTTGCAA